TTTTTGATGACATGGCCTTGTCTCGTTTTTCTTGCCTGACTGTTGTTGCGGTATGTGTTTGGATTCTCTGGGCTGGTGGCGTGGTATTCATTTAATTCTTTCGGTTAACTGATGGTATGATATTTGTAGTGAAAGGTGTTTTTCACCATGGAGAGAGAGAGCAATAACGAATGACCGAATGTATATTAAATGCAAAATACGACAAGATAGATTTATTAACATTGACGAAATTACAAACTTCTGTGAATGGTACAAATTATTTGGCAGACTGATCAAAGGGAAAACATTAATATCCGATTAGTGTTCATCAAATTGACTACTATGGGTTGGTGCATGATGCATGTTGATGCGATTGTCCTACCAATAATTCTCATGGAGATAGAGATGTGAAAAATGGGTATACTGAATCAGTTATTTCTATGGGAAAACTCTTCTACATATTTCATTTGCATGCAAATTAATAAAATGAATGCTTTAAGTTAATATTATGACTTTTAGATTGGTCATTTAGCAAATCTACGTCAAGACATGATTGGTACACAATGTATTCACCACATATCGATTGATACTATCCCATTCTAAGTGTGTGCACAATACAATGTTTGCTTTCATATGTTTTCCGATCACGACGCATGCGTATAAAATCCCTGAATAAACGTCTTTGGTTTTGGTAGTTTAATAAGGAACATTCACTAAAGCCAGGTATGTTTCTTCGCCTCTGTTTTTCAATAAATTCGAAAAATAACAATATAAGTTTGCAATCAATAAAAAATGTTTAAGACATCTTTTAAAACATCTCTTCTCCTTTCGATATAAATAAAATATGTTACAATAAGATGTCATTATTTAAGTAAGTGTTTGTTCACCTAGAAATTAAATATACTTTAATGGTTTAAGATTCCGATTTCGGACAACAATAAATTATCTGGAATTAGAACATTAATATTATATGGTACGCTATCAGTGTAGTCTTATTATGGAGTATGCAGCCATGATGTCAAGATTACTGTGACTGTTAGCCACAAGCCGAGTGGAATTACAAATGTGCTGTTTGTGTAATATATATATATAGAATTTGCCCATGGATGCATGATTCCATTGCACGACTAAATGTACATTCAAGAATTGACAATGCGATGTATTAGAACACGGATATATAAAATAGGTCTAATGTTCTCTTCTTGTCTGATTCGGGGTATGAATCATTATCGTTTACATATCTTTGGTATCTGACTATATACCAATTTTGCTGGCACTGGGTTTATGTTCACGGCTAATATAATAAACAACGGTTATGTTTCTACGACTGTGATGAATAAAACTCATCGAAGGGGTAATCTAGCAAACCTTCTGAGACTACAGACTATAGGCCAAGCACCTTCTGGAAGGGTCGGTCTCTTCCTTAGGTAGGGACAAGCGGCTTCGGTAAAGATTGTCGAACAGCACATAATATATACATTTAAGCAAGTTCGTATACTTCAACATATTAGCTACAGTACAAATAACCATCGGCCCGGGTGAGATGGCAGCGCAATAACTGACAGACGTTCACATTGACATAACTCTTGGGAACAACACTTGGGAAGCATAGCCATTATAATTGTTAGGTATATTGTTTGGCAAGATGATCGCAATCCGTGAGCCGCCTTCCGAGGTCTCCTGATCCACAGATACTCTATTCCACCTCCACTTGAAGACACGCGACTCTTTCCAATACGACGTTGAATGCAAAACAGCATTCTGGTTTGATTCACCGGTTAATCATAAACCATCTAGTTAATGTCTCATATTTACTTCCAGATATTTCACAATTCGGTGTTGAACATTTCGGATATATTCGGCGTTTGGTCGTGGTCCTGGAGGTGTTCAGATTCCATATCCATTTCCATCTCCATTTCCATGTCCATACTTCCCGGAGGCGGTGTCTGTAGTCCTGGCGGTGTGGCGGCTGTCAGGTCTGACATACTGCCTGTACCAGGAGTACTTGCACTAAGATCAGTCAACGTTGTCCCTGAGTCATTTATGGTGTTGTTATTATTTCCATCTCCATCCTTTCCTTTGCTCAAACTTCTGCGGTATTTCGCTCTTGCATTTTGAAACCAGACCTGGATATGCAAAGCATAAATGTATGTTTAGAAATAGTTCAATTAATGCATTCAGCAAATCCAAAACTAAGTATGTTTGCTCAAGGGGATCAGTAATACGATTATGTCTAATCACCCATGTGTACATACAATGGTATATGGCAGTGCGCAGTGCGAATGGGGTATTCAATAAAACGCACCCGGTACCCACTAGTTCTTTCATCAAAATGTTTGGCCTATATGAAACTAAATTGTTGTTTTGAACTTGGGAATCACATTGGTGGATTTGGTTTAGAAATCGTGACAATCTTGCTTGTCTTTGGTTTCCTTTTAGCGTAGTTGTATTCAGTACCAAAGCCCACTCAACTACGTGACCTCAGAGATTCGACTAGTCCATCTAGTCAATGTAGGTCCGCGTTTATTACACGCTTTTTCAAGCAGCATTTTGAGGGAAGATTGTATAGCCCAGTGAGGTGCTAAGTGGAAGAGTTCGAATCTCGCGTTGCGTGTTTATATGTTCGTAATTGGCCTGTAATTTATATTATGTGATGTACGCCTGTCATATCACTCACCTGAAGTACTCGTTTAGTAAGACCAGTTTTCTGTGCTAGTTGTTTAAGATCTTTGGCATCAGGATTATGATTCAGAGCAAAATAGGATTTCATTGTTCGTAACTGGTGGTGTTTGAAAGACGTCCTCATTCTTTTTGTCCTTTGTTGTGTGTATTGATCAGAGTTCAGGTCTTGGTGGTTTTCGCTGTCGTTATGTGGATACCCTGTAATAAAACAAAATAATAAATGTATAAAATGTCACAATAATAAATATTAGCACTAGTACTCAATCGCTGTAAGCAGACAGCTTACGTTGCCAATAATAAGTAACGGTACATGTTAATACCCACTGGCATTTTAACAAGTTGCAATGGTATCAGGGCAATCGAGATCTCTTTTTCTCAGGAGTTTATTTCACCTCATAATCATAATCATAATCAAAACAATCAAGACTCGATCTTTGTTGAAAAACATAAAACTTCACATTTTAGAGTATTTCTGAACCGAGATTCATTGGATCGAGTTACAAGTAGATATCTACATTGTTTTGGTTTCCTTCTGTGTCAGCTCATATGACGTCAGCCAGAAAAAGAAAGCCCTTTGATGTCAGGGAAACCGATCCGTATACGGTTTCCTTAGCATATGTTGCATACCAGGCAAGGTATTTAACCCAAAAAATGGATCTATAATATTACATGAAAACAATCCCTCCGCCCTTCTTTTTGATGTTATGGTAAGATGATGTTATGATAAAGTTAAATAAAACTAATCTTCAAGATAATCAGTCACAAGTATGAAAGTATATTATTCTCCAATGTAAAAGGCAAGCAATAATTTCACGTGTAAATGCGACAACAATGGGACTTGATACAGAGTCTGTATATCCTTATCTATATGGATATCTACAGACATTGTCCTGCGGCTAGGGCAATGTGTGTCTGATTTTAGCGAGGTATTATTTCCTCATCAAATTGAAATAGCGATTTGGGAAATTAATTATATTTATCGCCAAGGGTGATACTTTTATATCCAATGAACATTATGTTATCTGTTATTACTAATTGCTGTCTCCGATTTACAAGTAAAATCAAGATTTCATTTTTAAGGTTTGAGTGTTGACAATGTTAGGGTATACTAGTTTGAAATTATAATTAATTAATTTTGAAAACATTAAAATTGAATGAATATCGATTTGAAGATTACATAGTATGAATGTGTGATTGCTCGGGAACATTCTGCATTCAATACAGCTTAATACTTATACAATTACATACTTAGACTGGTAACAAGGCGTGAAATAAATTCTAAGTCTTCTAATTCACTTTAAAGTAACTAATAATGTGTTTTCGTCTTTCAAACATAGTAGTTTGGTTGGTGGCAAGAAGATGAGCTGCCCATTGCCGGCGGAGGATTCACCTCGGCCGCCGGGCAGCTAAGATCCATGACGCCTGGCTGTATCACCTGAACATCTACCCCTATCTGCTCGCTTACAAAAAGGTTACTGGCAGACTAACAAGTCAAATGTACCTCAGGGTGATATAGATAAAACACTCCAATTTAGACCTTACGAACGTAGCAGAACTTAGGCGCTTCAGAAGAAGGGACTATGGAGGATGATACGCTTGACCGGATCATTGGACTGATGAGAGCACTCGAGTTTTCCTTATCAGATAAAGCTAACACGCTTAGTTGTCTCAGGAAATCTGACAGTTTGATGGGTAAGGCATAAGTTAACAATAAAGGAGGGCTTAATTGCCCTCTATGAGACTGATAGTAACACTGATAACAACGTAAGAGTATCCACCATGGACACACTACAGATAGTGCCGTCCGGGATGGCTGTAGGCTGCGCATCGTTTTGATCTTACATTTCAGATTACATTCTGGATATCCCTAGTATTAACCCTGTCAACGTCAAAGTCAAATTTTGTCACCTTTCACAAAAAACTGCCTAATTTGGTTCAAAATTAATAAAAAAATATCTATATAGAAAATATACTAGTATTCGCAAAACGTAGTACTAAAGTTGGAAAAGTTGGAAGTTATGCCCATTTGGTCCAAAATTAATGGAAAAAAATATAGAAAATATATTCGCAAAACGTAGTACTAAAGGATTTAACATAACTATGACAGGTTTTAACTAGTTTGAAAAGAACGCCAAGCTTACTTTTTATTATTAAGTACTATGACAACAATAATAAGTATGTTAAAAAACAAAAAGTAATCAAATCGACAAATATTCTGTTCGATGAGTTTTTTGTTGTTGTATTTACAATGATATTTAGATTAGCATCAGAGGACTCTTAAACTCAAATAATTTCAAAATGAAATCTTTACATACACACAAAAAAGAATCGTTTGATTTACAAAAGGCACGCTTGAAATGCATAGTGACGTATCGAGGTCCAAATGGCCCCAGGAACAGTTTTCTGCAACAAAGGAAGACCATGGGAAAACGGAAATTTGGGCAACTATAACGTTGTTAAACACAACAATCACAGTGATAGGGGGTCTTTTTAGCTGGATATCAGTGTCCGTTTTATGAATTAGCGTACATTTACAATTACATTAAAAGTGAAGTAGACAGAGGTAAATAGCTGTAAGCAGTAATACCAATGCAGTCACTCTTGCCTTATTTGTCAAGTCGGGTTCTCCTACGTTATGTGCTGAATTTAGTGAGTTTTCACACAAAATGTGGACAGTAATGGTTTCTTTTTACCGATCCTAGTTGAATTCGGGCTAGGTATTATCCACTAAAATTGTTATTACAACTGCTATATTAGCAAGGCTGTATTGCATTATCTGTGAGTGGTCCACCGAAGAACAGCCTTACAGTGTCACTTGCACTACGTTTTATACGCATATGTGTCTCCGTAGACGCCAGACCGATAGTTGCTATATGATACTCGCGTTTTTCTGCCTCTCATTTTGCTTTGTTTGCAAATGCGAGAATACTATAGTGTTAGCAAGGACACAGTTACTTGTGTTGTGTATTTAGTAAACATGGCTTTGTTTGAAGTCTTCAAACACCCTACAGGGCTCAGCGAAGAAGTACCAAAAATAGGGAAAATTTAACACGTGAATCAACACTGGGCGACGGCCGAGGAGATACCGCAGCTCAGATTCTCACGAAAGCTTTGGCACATGGTGCGATATGCCCACACGATGTATTTAAGGATGGCTCACAGCTGTGATCTTTACACTATAACACAAAACATACCTTAATATAAAGACGTGGAAATTCCATATTTCATACGAGAACATTGGCACAGCTTACGATACAAGTAATGTTCGAGCTTTTATTTAGTATCAACCGACTACACATTGCTTTGTAAAATTGTCATTTTCAAGAAACGTTCATGTAGTTATAATGTGGACTACTAAATTTTCTCTGAAAAAACATTTTGACTGTTCTATATGAAGTTTATTTTTATTAAGTTTATTTTTTATGTGAGTTGACTGTGAAATATGGGAAAAAGATATTATATTTTCAGCCATTCATCTCTTCAGCGAATAGGGAGAATAAATTTCAAGTGAAAATAAAATAATTTGCAGTACACGTAACATATATAGCATTTACACCAAGCGATACGGAGACGAATGCAGGTTATATGCAGTTGTAACCAATACGGGAAGTCGATTATTAATACACGCAAGGTTAAACTATGTTACCGCTAAGTAAATTTGAAGCACTGGCTTCTTAAGTCGGCCAGACAGCGAGACACGTGCGGAAACGGTCAAAAAGCTCCCTTTCCGAGTCGGATTAAAACGTTAACACCACATGCGGAGAAGTCAATGTCTTGGAACTTGATCAGTTGCAGGAGTTCTGGTACGGATTAGAAAGCAAGAGAAACGTATCTATCTAGTATCGCCATGACCCCTGTAGTTTGAGAGAACTCAGTCGCCGTAAAACTGCAAGCTGTATTTTGACGCGGCCTGTGTTTCGGTTCGTTCGCATTATGTGAAAATGATGCAGTAGCCTAGTTTTATTATGCAACCATGTTACGCATCAGACGACCGAACAGAGGAAATCATTTACTCTTAGTGTGTATTACAATGCATTCAGGCGAACTGAGATAGAAAATTTAATACAGCCCTTATAAACCATTAGACTAACAAAAAGAGGTAGAATTACTATGATTCAATGTATATGTGGGGGCATCAAAGACTCGCAGCTAGGGTTCAGCAGATAGGAACGCACCCAGCTAGTCAAAGTGCGTATACCTTCTTCGATTGTAGAGTTGACGGGTTTAGTGACTACTCTAACTATAGATGGGTAGCATGTATTTGTACTATCCATTTGTAGCTGGTGTTACTCATCAATATTATTGTGAAAACGGCCTAACAATAGGAGTCGAATTGAATGAGCTTGATCTATCAAGGCAACCGTTGGCGTGTAGTGTTTCCATAGCCTTCTCCCTGTGGGGATTTGGTGGCATATAGAGCACGATAGCGTGAACTATTTAGCCAAGAAATGCTAGTCAGTAACCCGATCTGTAACTGGACACTCAGACTCAAAGCAAACATGATTCTGCACACTTTATTCGTTCATCCCCACGGTGCGTGTTTTCTTTGGCTTTTCATAGTGTCAACCAGTGTCAACATTCAAGTCTTCTGACGTTTCTACCCCGTGGGCATACTGTCCATATAATGGTGGAAAGGCGAGACGCCGATGTTGTTGTCCTCTTCGTCAAGTATTGAAAGTATGAGTTAGAATAACAGCGGCAATTCGTTGATCAAACAGTATCAGTGAAGGGCTTAGTAGGATTTATCTATCAGATGTTAAAACGTTGACAGGGAAAACACTCAAAACTTAGCGTACATGAGGGAATCGCCATGCCTTGGAGCTGAAAATAGCAATGCTATAACCATCATCTACCATGCTGCTCAGACTCATTTAGATAAGGAAGGAAATTGCAGTGTTTGCCACCATTTTGATGGACTCTCATATTATATATGTTTGTATTGAAACACAAAACACTTGTGCAATCACGGGTACTAGGAACCGTGGTGCAATGTAGTATTTAACAAATGCCAGTTTTTTTGGGGGACTATATGGCAGTTATATGATTTCTGGGCGTGGTCTGACACATTGTTTCAAAATGTTTGTTGGTACCTGGTTGACTCGTCCAAGACCATTAGCGTGTAGTTCCTTGCACGAGTGCGATGTGGCGTACAGGAGAGTGGTATGATGTGCCCTGATGGGATGTGCTGTTCACTTGAA